CATAAACCATTGCCAAACACTGCATTTCTTGCACAGGGAACAACACCATGCTCTGGGGAAGTGGGAAGCATTTGTCTACAGAAATACCCTGACTGAAGAAACACTGATGTCACTCTGTCTGCAGTCAGCACGTCATGCTCGAGAATGATTGAGTTACACATCACATGGGCACCAAACAGCAACACTGGGCAACAAAAACTACAGGGCTGCACTCATAACAAGGAGAAAAACAATTATGATTTGTGTAGTAAACAATCACTGATTCAAAGCTCTGCTCAGCCCAAGAGTCATCACATAAGAACTGACTCACCTCCACTAAAACGTGGGACTGTTAAAATGAACACTGCAGTGCTCAGCTTTAAAGCAAGAGATTTTAAGAACAGAGCAATTTATTAAAAGTTTCAGATTTTAAGGTAAAAATGTCTCTGGGTGCACTTTGCTCATCAAAATCAGCCACTGTTCTGCAGAACAGCAAGTTGAGAGGGCTTTTCCCAGCCTGAGGAATTGCTTAAAACAGATTTAGACCAAAGGTATGTCATGAGCAGAATAAGAGCCAAAAACCAGCAAAGAGACAAACATGATCCCAGAATGGGGGAAAGTTAACAATCTTCCATAAAATACACTAACATCTGACCCAACTTGTATTTAGTATGTGACCATTATTGATCCAAAAAGAACAGTGGCACAGCCTCTGCTAAATCCAGACTCAGGTTAGTCAAAACAAGAGAGCCTTCCTAAAAAAAAAAAAGAAATCTTTCCAAGAAACTAAAAATAGCAACTAGTAAAGAATTTTTGCCTTTGAAGTTAACTTGTAAGAGCAGAAATTCCTTTAAAATAAATTATTATTTATGTTCCCATGCTCCCATGCAAAACAGACAAAATCAAGTTTTTATAATAACCATCCCTCACACTCAGGATTTTCAGGACAGCATTCACTTGTGTAACAAGTATGTGCATCTTGTGCATTCCTTTCTCCACCCACTCTTATTCCAGACAAGAAAAGTAATAATTAGCAAAGTATTAGAAGTCACATCATAGCATGCCATTATTTTGCCAATAAATAATATAATCATTCCTTTATCCAAATACTGTATGTGAAGCAATTTTATTACCAGTTACTAACTTCTTTCCAACACCATGATTTGGCCTAATAATACACTGCCACCTGAAGACAGACCCAGAGACACAAAGTCTATTAGCTGACCAAAGCCCATCACCTCTCCCAGCAGCAGCTTCAATACCTTTTTAGCCCAGGCTGACACATGGCCATTAACAAATCCCTCTGACATTTTCCTATGCTCTAAGCATCCTAGGTTTTCTAAACATTTTCTCAGTATTAAACATGTGGAGCAATATCAATAGATCATTTCCTGGTAAAACTGCAGTTTTAGTTCCCTACCTCCAAGTGATAAATTTGTCTGGCATTTTTCTCAGACTATCATAGAGCTGGAGGTAAAAGATGTGGAGTCATAGTTACTACTCTTTAAGTAAGGTCTATTAAATTCAGAGATTAGTTCTTTATAGTTTACTTATGATACTGTTTAGTGAAATGGCAATCAAAATTATGAGGAATTGAACAATGGCAACCTTGAGGAGTTCTAGGGGAATAAATTAATATACATGGATAATTCACATAATATACATGGATAATATACATGGATAATTAGCAGGCTAACGGGGATGTAGTTCCAGAAAAGACTTCTTTGCAAAGAGAACTCTACTAACACTTCCACTGCACTGAAACCAAAACACAGATTTTTCTTAATATAAACCTCAGGATGATCTTCTCTAGTTCAGATATTTTCTCTCTTTAAAGTCCCCTTTCCACCAAAACAACGAGATCATAGACCTTAACTACTTGTGTTGAATGAAGAACAGTGATTGAGGCCCTGAGCATATCTGTATTTGCCAGCACAGATCAGCAAACAAGGATCCTGCTAATCCCCTCAGGAAGCCCAGCTAAGACTCTTTCACCATTCTCTAAGTCAAAACTACCTTTAAATTACAACTTCTGTGGTTTTAAGTGGGCTGAAAGAGAAGGGCCACAGCAGTGAGGGAGCATGGAAAGGGCAGAGGGAGCCCAGGGGGAACAAACCTCACAATTACTTTCTGTCTTTTTCACTTTCAACTATGCTCACTCACTCCTGTTGCATTATTGTGTTTTTATAAAGAAAACATACTCACACTTTTTATTTAATCTTAAAATTAATTACAAGTATGATTTCAATCAGTCAGCATTGACAGAACTATTGAAAGAAACAGCTATAATCTGTTATTAGAACACCTCCCAACAAAACTCACAGTTCTAAGACAAAGTGTTGAGGGAACTGATACAAATTATTCTGTTTCAAACAGAAATCAAGAATTACCTGTGCAGCTGAAGCAACTGGAATTTGGAACAGTGGATAACAGTGCACAGGCAAAGAATTGTCTCTTGCTTCCCAGCAAGTATAGCAGATATCCAACAGAACATTTTCAGCTAACATACACATTCAGTCAATAATTAATTAAGTTATAAGCAAGAACTTTCTGTAGTACAATTCTAGTTAGAAAAACCAAACAAAACGAAACCACAAAAAACAAAACAGCCTGTAAATAATTTCTTAGCATTTTGCTCTGACTCACTTTAAAATAAGCAAAAAATTTGTTTTGATAACTTTTTAAAGAAAAAGCAAGCTGCAACTTTAAGTTTAAAAAAATCAGTAAATATGATCATTACCTCTCCTAAGTTGTATGTAATGGATTCAGTTTTAAGAAAAAGTTGTATTGTGGCATTAATTGTGGCATTAAAACTCATAGCAGGAACATTAAACAATATCCAAGAGATCCAATACTGCCATAAACAGTTCCTTTAATTAAAAATATGCTAATTCCATTGATCAATAGATCATGAAAATATTACCTCCCTTAGATATAAATATGAAGTATAAATTAGAGTTGTCTGCATAATCACAATTTGTTGCACATTTGTTGTACTTAAGTCCCACAGCAATTGTTTCTAAGTGATAAGAACTTTGGTGCTAAAATATTTTAGACTAAATGTTCAGGTTACAAAAGAATTCTAAACTCCAACAAAGGATTTTCAGTGGAGGGGAAGTAACTGGAAGGGCCTTGTGATTCTGCTAATAAATAATGCCCACTGCACTTGTCCCTGTCCAGTGTTTCTGTGTTTTCAGCCCCCCTGACAGGCAGCTGCAGCACCTCACACACAGGAATGATTATTTTGCAATATCAGAACTGAACCTCATCTCTCAGGTGCATCCAGCTCAAAGCAACCTCTTCAAAGTATTTGCTGGAGTTCTTCTAAAATACTATAAACAGACCTGCTTTATTTTCCAGCTTTTAAAATAACTACAGAAATAATTACTGAATTCTTTCAAAATTAATTAACAAAGCCAATAGTTTTGTATTTGGGTTTTGATTTTTTCAAAAACAACTGGTTAAACAACTTTAAAATACAATGTTTCATATGATTGTGATTAAGCACCATTGATTACACGAGCTGGGATGTAATACAGTTTTGTTTGGGTTTTTTTTAATAAGCTCTCCTCCAAAATAGAAAACAAACACGGGAGAATGAGTTAAGATTCTGCAGATAGCTCTCCACATCTGAATACTCCCAGGATCCACAGAAGTCACATGGATAAAGCTACACATACACTTAACATTGCAAAAAACCTCTTAGGTCTCAGAAATCAACTGTACATTGAAAGTATGCATTGTGAAGTTTTTCAAAAAGAAAACAGGATGTTACCCTCCACTGCTTTTTGGACTTCTGCTACTTGGTGAACATTTTAGGATTACTTTACAAAAACAATTTTACCTTTTGATATTTGTTCGGGAGTTTCTGTGGGACATGTAAGTGAGAGTTCTGTGCAAAAATATTGGCTGCAGGGGGGAAAAAATAGAAAATGGTTATGCTTTAATTAAAATTTTCTACAAATGCAAAGTAAAGGAGTGATAAAACCAATTACTCACTGCTATTAGATTCCGGGTACGTAGAAATCTGTATATCTGGGTTGGTTCTAAGAAAAAGGAACACAGGTTACCCAATGCAACTTACACCTCCAGAAAGAGTCTTAGAATGACAAAAAGTATCTTAGTGTGGCAATTACTTTGAAACAATTATCACAAAAGCCATTAAGTGAAGCATCACAATGTCCAAATAACTCCAAGTTATCACATTCAAGGTTACTTCACCAACCCTACAGCACAAAGCAACTTCTTGTTTAAGGTGCCACAAATCAGGGGTCACAACTCAACTCTGCTTTCCACAAAATGGGCTTCTTACAGACTTTTTATCATCAGTGGGCAGAAAAACACCTCAATGTATCACAACCTATGGTCATATGGGTAAGTTTTCCTCATGAAGTCAATGAACACATTTGCTATGATACCAAAAGAGCACAATAAATTTACACAGCCAGATAATTTGGATTCTGATTGCTTTAAACTTCTGGCAAGTACCAAGGTCACTTGCAGCACGTACTGAAACAAGAACAGGGACTGGCATTGACTGTGATCCACTATGGATCATTCTAAGGTGGGAAATGAATGTTGGTTTTAGCAGAGCAACTACTGTTTTCAGTGCAAAAGGAGAGAACATCATTCAGCTGGTCACAAAATGGACACTAAAGCACAGCATCATCTCAAACAGGTCTGAGAGCCAACGTCCAAAGGATCAACACTTGCCTACAGCCAAGAGAAGGACCTTCAGTTTAGTTTTAACCAATTAAATCAGAACAAGAAGGGTTTTGTCTGGATCAGGTTATTTCTAACAAGAATTCCAAACTAAACTGAAATACTCCCTATCTGAACTGAAATAAAAGCCAACGTCACAAAGTAACATCAGCAAAAAGCTTATAAATTACTTAATACACATCAAGTGGAGAGAAAAAAGAGAACAGACAATGTACTAATGGCCATGCTAAGGCTGGTAACTCTGCCTCCATGTCCCACATAAAGCAAACAAAGCTTGTATCTAAAGAAATATAGAATTTTCTTTTTCATGCAACTGCAAAACATTTATTTCAAATAGCTGGAAACCTTATTGTGTGGAATTCTGTAATTAGAAGTAGAAAAGGACAGCTTTTAATATCCTTTAGCCCTTTTAAAGATATGATTCAGCCTTATTTCTACAGTTATGAATGTAAGACCCCATAGAACACATAATTAAAGAGATGTTATTACTGTTAGAGAAGGAACTCTTAAAATGATCACAGTATTTCCTTTTAGAAGCCTGAAGAAAGCCACTGAAAATCTGCTTAATGCAAATTATCACAACAAAATCCGTATTTTTCATATCAAGATAAAAGAAAGTAATTAAGATATGTGCACTTTGCCACAAAGTGAATATACAGAGTATTCACAACTTTGAAAAGACATCCCATGTTTTTCAGTCCCAAAAAGCCCATGGCATAATTATATTTTCTTAATGTATGAAAACATTAAGTCACATTCACAAGGGTGGAATTTAATTTAAAGGCAACACATTGCTGCTTCAACATTAATTTTCCCAAGTGGAAAAATTCTGAAACACTCTCTTCAACCTGCAGAGAGACATATGTCTCACAAGTCTGTATTACTCAGCAAAAGCTTAAAATAAATCTTTTATCTTTTCCTAGCACATGACCTTGAAAAGGGACAAAAACAGTCAGGAAGAATGCAATTCAGTACTACACGTGTCAGGATTTCTTTGATCCGGTGTTTACTTGCTGCAGTTTTCCCATGATATTTGCACACGGGGTTAACATATCATGTATATCTGTATGTACGGCTACACTGTAGCTTCCTCCTGATCCCCACCTGCTCGGCTCTGTGCTTCCCTTGTCTGACACACTCAGGCACGACCAGAAGAATTTTTTCCATCTCGGGCACTGAGAAAAAGCTCTTACAACTCAAGTCTGTGACTTGACCCATTTGCAGCACAGTATTTACTGAATACAGAGCGTCCTTACAAGGACTGGGCCATGCTTTATTCCACACTACACCAAAAACTCCAACACTGTCACCACCTACAGCAAGTGTGAGCATTGACAGCACCAATCCCAAAACAGGATCGTGTCTTCAAGTAGGGCCTTAAAAATTCCCTTCAAATCCTGGCAGCTGCACAGAAATCTTTTAGTGCAATTTAAGTTTACTGGTCCACTGTGCTTTTAAACCAGATTTCCACAAACAACTTTCTAGCGAATTCAGAGGGACTCTCCACCCATGCGGTGCTCCCACAAGGGGAATGCCTGGGTCGCAAAGGTCGATTTCCAACGCGAAACCTCGACTAAGTGAAAATTATTGCCAAACAAAGAAAAACCAAGTACAGTGAACTCTTAATCGCGTCCTGCCCCTGAAAGGGGCTCGAACGGCGCAGGCCAGAGAGGAAAGGGCCCCCTCGCCCCTCAGTGCCCAGAGCCTCCAGGGGCTGCGGGAGGAGGGAAGGGAGCCAGCCGCCCCGAAAGCCT